CTACTTACAGATGAACTATAGTCTTTGGAATCTATTAATTTGGTCTCGAGTTGTTGGCTTACTTCTTACTGTATTGACTGTATATCCGCTCACGCGATGCGCTCCTCCTGCCGCAAAATGGCGGCTATTTGGTTTCGCAAATTAGAAAAGGGTTCAATTTAAATAAAAGTTTTCATAAATAAAAATTATTAGTCTGCATTGCTAAATAAATACCCTCCGTACTACCCACAAAAACATCTCCAATAAAATGCAGTAATACACCGCAAATCCTGCACTTAAAAAGCACTAATGAAATTTTTGGTGTACTTGGATAAATATGATAATATTCCGTTTGAGTGGTTCTAACGTTTACCATGAAATTATTCCTTAAAGTATAGTTTATAAGCATTTATATTCAGGGTAAACGTAAAAAACGCTACTTACGGTATGTTTTCAATAAATAAACACCGAAATCACCAGCCCAAAAAATAACACACACGATTGTCGTGACGTATATTTGAAGTTGTTTATTTTTTTTAAATGACAGACCCAAGCATTAAAAACTTTATGGTTTGCTAGAGTAGTTACCGAAATAGCAATTAATATTAGTTCTTTTACCTGTTATAACTTCGATATCCAGATAAATCGGTATAAAATCATCACCGGCACCTCTAGGAGTGGTATGCGTCTACGGCTGCATGTATCGCGTGAGCGGATACGAGAGTCTTAAATTTTAATTTAAGTTTTATTAATTGCATTGTTTCTGCTCAGATGTCTGTGTTGGTCAATTTTTGGTTTGTTCTTAACCATCAAGCACTGTGGCAGAATATCAGCAAGAGCTGTGTACTCCTAGTCCCCTGTAGCTGATAGACGCACCCCATTTGTCTTTGTGTATTGTTACTTTAAAAGACTGTCTACTTTCTGGAAACTACCAATACAGATACCTACTCATCAGATTTTTTCATCGTACATTCTTGTTCCTGCGAGATATACGAGTATAATTGGTGAAAACGTTACACTACAATTTGAGGAGTCCCAAAAATTTTACAAGGAATGGCAAGAAGTTGAGAAACCATTTCACATTATATGAAATTGTTCAGAAACCATTTAATGGTTTGCAGTGTGTTCAAAATTTCAAAAAACTTCAATTCAATTTCAATTTAACCAATATATCTGCACGTCCTTTAGAAGGCGACGAAATCTATTTCCATTCCAACGTTTCCGATAGAATCTAAAATTGTGAATATATTTTCTTACTGTTTAAGGCTCGTGGTTACAATATATTTTATAACCAAAGCGCGAGTCTTCAAGGCACAATTTCATGCATAAAGGCAAGTTTCCTATCAATTTGAAGGAGCGTGAAGTACCACGGTCTGTGAGATTTTGTATTAAATATGGGGGACCACAAGGTATTCTTAAGCGTAAAGAGGAGTAGTTTTCTATCAATTTGGAGAGCTGTGAAGCGTAAATGACAATGGACGGGTGATGATGGCGCAGGAAGCACATTACGTTGCATTCTTTTAAACGAGAAATAAATATTATCTCTAGGTAAAAATAAAGTTATTTAAACATAGAAAGTACAAAATATTTTTAACCTATGCTTGAACGAAAATTTATTTTAGCACAACCAAAGAGTAAACGTTTTATGTCAAGTCATATGATATTTAAACTAGTGAAATGTGGAAAATTTCATCAAACACTGCGCTCAGAGCTTAGTGCCCAGGAGACTGGCAAAGTTTCCTCTTTGGATAGCTAAGCTCATTCTTTGCCGGCAGGTAGCTGTCAGTTTTCTTGATAACCAGTGCCTTCGAGAAATGTCAATCGGAGGCTTCCTTAGCGAGAATTTTGCATGTGGCCCTATTGGAATTTGGGTGTAATAGTACCTGAAGTTGGTGTATTTAAGCTTTTTGCGGTTCTTAATCTATCTTTGGATATAGAAGAGGGCCAAAGAGATCGCGCAGGTTGCATCCTACCTTAGCTTTTGTTTTTTTTTATTATAATACCAAGGGACGTCTGTTCATAACAGTTGCCACTTAGAGTTTCAAATCACAAAGATCTGAGGAGAACTGCAGCCGTCACGGTAGGGCTCATTCA